GGTGGGGCCTCTTCCTCGGAGGGGTCCACGGGGCTCGGGGACAGGAACTTGCGCACATATTTCGGATAATGTGTCTTTTCGTGGGCCTTGAGTATCGTCGACCTCGAAAAGGTCTTGCCACACAGCGTACACCGGAACGGCCGTTCGCCGGTATGCACACGACAGTGGTCCTTCATATGGTGGCGCAGCTTGAACGCCTTACCGCAGAACTCGCACTTGAACGGCCGGTCGCCGGTATGCGCCGGTAGGTGGGCAATCAGCGAGCCGACGTCCGGGAAGGACTTGCCGCAGAACTTGCAGAGGACGACGCCGGAGGTCGGGTCCGAGTGGGCCGCGAGTTCGAAGTCCATCGGCTCAATCGTACCCGCGGCGGGGTAGTGGGCCTCCGGCGGCAGGTGCATGCCGGGTTCGAGGCCCAGCTGAGCCTGCAGCTGCAGGTGGGCCGCTTGCTCGCGGTACTTGAGCGACTCGAGGCTGTGCGAGAGGATGTGCCGCGTCAGCTTGCTCTGGTGGAGGAACGAGGCACCGCAGTACATGCACGCAAACACCCGCTCATCCACACCCATCAACTCCTGCAACCAAACAAACAAGAACATCAACTTCTTGTCTTCCCTCCGGCGCTCTATACCCCCGCGGGAAAGACTCATCTCCGCCTCTCTTTCTCTCTGAATTTTTCTCTCTCTCTCTCTCTCTCTCTCTTTCTCTCTCTCTCTTTCTCTCTCTCTCTCTCTCTCTCTCTCTAACTTTCTCTCCTCTCTCTTTCTCTTCTTTCTCTCTCTTTGTTTCTTTACTTTAATCTACTTCGAGTTACTGCACTATTTTCTTTTTTTTTATTTTTTTGACATAGTCTCGTAAATCCTGACGGTAAGTTAATGTATATATATATAAATTATTAACTGTAGTAACTATACTACCATGTATATCACTATAACGCGCGACAAAACGTCTCCGACACTATTCGATCTGCAGGATACACAGATGCACACATATGTTACATATATGTATATATGTCTATTATATAGATATATGTATGTGTATATATATGTATATATACGAACATATATATATATATATATATATATACCGTGGCACGTCGTTTCAGAAACGGACAAGCGCCACGGTTATCTTGAACGAACAAGAAAAAAAATCTTATTGGATAACCTTCGTATCGTGCTCCCTTCTTTCTATCTCCCTTTGACGACTAATTCTTTCTAATGCATCTAAGTTTTCGATAAAAAAAAAAAGAAATAAAGAAAGTACAGGCAAGCTCGTTCTTTTGACACTACTATAAGCACGTGTTGCGACTAAAAGAGGTCCTCTCTCTCTCTTTCTCTCTGTCTCTCTATTCTCTCTCTCTCTCTCTTTCTTTCCTTCAGTGTTCTAATTCATAAATTCCATTCATTCGGAGGAGAAAGTGTCTCCGGCGTGGCGAGAAGTTGACGCTTCTCGGTAGCACACAAGACGGTATTCACAAGAAGTTGACGCTCATTTTTGTTTGGCGCGCCGCGCACCCCAGGCACATGTATGACAAACTATTTGAGTGTGTTACGATGTATAAATATATATATGTATACAAGATGTCCTCGAGTTATCGCCATTCCTTCTACATATGAATTTTTTGATCAATTCGGAGGTGTAAATAGAAATAGTAATAAAACAAGTAGATAAATCGTTTTGATTATTCATGTAATTGTTTTAAACAAAAGCGAATAATTTATGATAAAGTAAATCTCGGAAAATAAGTAGCGAAAGATGATTCGTTAATTAATTTCAAATAAACTGTGCTACAATTTGATTATGAGGCTAGCTTACAAAAATATTTAAAACTAATTATACTAAACTTACTAAATGAGACGTGACATAAAATTAATTTTAAGAAAAGATCGACTCCAAATTGATCAAAAATCTATAAACAAAACGAACGGTAATAGTTTCGAGGGAGACATCTTGCATACATATAAATAAATAGATAAATATATATACGTAGATATAATATAGCAACAGATATATATGTATACGGGCCCATGACAATCCCCACAGCCTCGTTCTCAACCCGCCCTTCTCATCCCTCCTCCCTTTTATCGTACTCGCAGCGTATATGCCGCGCCGCAAAATTTATTCGCCGTAGCAAAAGGCATTGCACTCAACCAAAACGACAAATTGAAATACAGATATTACAAAGTAACAAATGATATAATGAATATGTCAACAATCTGCCAATATATGTATATATATATATAAATATACGTATAAATATATATAAATATATATATATAGTGCAAAAATATATATGTAAATATATATAGATATTTATATCACAGTGTACAAACGATATGCGATGTATACATAACGTATGTGTATATATATATGTATATATATTTATGTATATATATATATAAATGTAGTAAAAAAACAATCATGGCCAAAAACGAAGGTCAACTTCTTGACAGTGAGCTAGCAAGACAGGCTGGCAGGACGGGAGAGGATTCATTTGGCTTTTCGTAGTCTCTTTTGTTTGTCAATTTTTTTGTCTTTCTCTCTTTCTCTCTCTCTCTCTTTCTTTCTCTCTCGCTCTCTTTCTCTCTTTCTCTCTCTATATCTTTCATGACAGACTTTGAGCGCACTTTTTCAGTTCCCTCAAAGTACGTGGAGATGGAGTTCACAGACGGAAGAGGGGCCGAGCTTTTACGATCGAGTGGTACACTCTTGGCGCGAGCTGCACGCGTAGCAAGCAAAAGAATGCTGAAGGGGTAGAGAAGGGTCGTGAGGTAGTGGAAGATACAGAGTTGTGAAACTGAAAATGAAAGTTTCGTATTCTCTAACTGAATAGAAATTTTGCATATAATCTAGCCTGTTGTTTCAATGTTTTATCAATGTTTCGAGCATCATTCTAAAATTGTATTTATAAGGAGGTAAATTAAGTATAATTCGCTATGGTCTAATAAAGTTCACGTCTCTCTGTAGCCACATTTAGAAACCGGGACAACGACTAAAGTAGATAAAGACGAGAAACTGGACTTCGGAGTAGAGACGAGAGACAGAGAGAAAGACAGAGAATGCGTGTATACATCTGTGTATCGGAAAGCAGAGAGAAGACGAGGGGTGTAATGGATGGATTAGTTCGGTAAAGAAGACAATATATTCGCCACAGTAGATGAACATGCACGATCTCGTTTTTTCCTATTTATTACATCTCGATGAGGTTTTTAAATAAATATGACACACACGAATGAAAATTTGATATAAAGACGGACGTACACTGAGATAAAATTTACTAAATATTAATACATATTTTTTTCAATAATATCAACTTAACAGTTACAATAAATAAATATTTACTCAATAAAAACAAATAATTAAATAGTAAAATCAAATTAACAGTTCTTGTATCAAATGTATGTAATAAATATATGTTACATTTAGTAAATATTCAATTACTACTATTCAAACAAATATATATTAAAATTTAGTATATTTTTTAGTGTATGTACCACAAAAATTTCAGAGAAAAAAATCTCTTTTTAAGCAACATTGGTAATTAAAAAATGTACATAAAGAATTATACTTGCGTCTATATGTGCGTCGTATTTCATGAATATTCCATGATTATAAGATTAGCATCTTCAACTTTTTATAAAGAATTATTCAACAAATCATTTGTCACAAGTTTAATTTACATTCCCTCTCTTTGTGAAATCTTCAAATCTTATTATATCAAAATCTTTACCGCGATAATTTCGTGTGATTTCACTATCCTTCTCTCTTTTCTTCGTTCATCAAAAACAATATTGACATTATGTCGCGCGAATCTAACTACGGCTAAAAGTTACAAAAATTTACCGAAAGGAAGTTACGTAGAGGATATATTTAAAATGACGTTTTGACGTCAACGAGAACAATCGGTAAGAGTGTCAACTGGTGAAGAGTTTTAGAAAGTATTTCACATCAAAATGTTGAAAGAACTCGATCGTAAGGAGTGGGTTACTGTAAGGTTACTCTCGGCAGGTAAAAATCGTTACAAGTAAAGCGCAAGAACGAACGAGAATCCTGCTTTCTCTGAGATCATTAGTCATGATCTTCGGGATGCCGTACGATTACGGTACAATTTCGTTGATAACGCGACAATTCTATCAAATTAGCAGGGAGAGCAGCAAACAGCAAAGCACTTGGGCACATGCAAGAGACCCACATGCAAAGTGAATTCGACGCACATACACATACACGCGTGCATGCGCGCGTGTACGTGCGTATGCAATTTGCACCGTCGGACTTTCGGGTAAAGCATAATACGTTTATATGCATCGACGATACTTGAAAGTCGCGTCTGTCGTCATACCGGGTAGCACGTCACGAATGATCCGTCGTGATTCGGTCATAATAATGATGTAGCATAATGCATTGCAACGCGTAATTGCAGTTGCAACTTGAAGGGACTTGGCGCAGTGGATCGTCGTCTCATCCGCAACGCGCAGCTCCTGCCGACGATTGCGAATGAGCGAGACGTTTATCAATATATAATATATGTATATATATATATGTATATAGAAATGCAGAGCAAAGAGAGGATACGAGAATAAAAAGTAGTTAATAATAAATTGGAAATATATATATGTATATATATAGCTCGCCGGAAAAAGGGCCACTTACCGGATCTGGCGGGAGTCTGTAGTCTGCGGATATCTCGCTGCTCGCGCTGCGCTCCTCGGTCGACCTTTCCCAGTCTATTTCTTTTTTCAAGGACTGCAATGGAAAGTGCATCCAGTTTATATCCAAGTAATAAATATACAATAAACAAATGATATTGAGATCGCAATATAAATATGTCAAACGGCAATATCGATGGTTAGTATCGAAATTATCATTGGTTTTCTTTTTTTTATAAAATAATTGCGACATTGGTCATCAGTTCAAGAATATTAAACGTGAACAGAGATATCTCGCTGTTGCAGGATAAAACTGATAAATGAATAAGTTGATTCAAGTATAAAAGCTTCCATAATAACATTATTTGTATGTAGAAAAATTTAAGCTTCGTAAATGTAGAAGAAAACCATTATAACGATAAAGTTCTATCGAATTCATGTCTATATTACAATATGAGATATATCAATATTTTTTTTAAATACATTTCATAGTCCCCAACGTAAATATCCAATAGATTTTTCGGTCGATTTAAATTTTAAGTTCAATTATATCGACATAATAGTTGATTGGCATTTTATCGATACTCGAAGTTAAACAAATTCTTTTCTAATACATCTGAGTAAGTGGGATTCAACATAGATATGCAGACATATTAAAGTTTTTACGCAAATATGTAACATTTAAATTAATATATAACCATTCAATATAATGAACGATTTGATTACTTTTTAAGTTCCACTCTCTCTTCTTGCTAGATATCAAGAGTAAATATTACGCCAGCCAAGATTGCTTCCGAGTTCAATTTGAATCCTACTTGTCCGGATTAGGACGGAATTTCCTTTCAAAGATTAATCTTATTGCTACTTACTAGCGGAACTTGTTGAACCGGGGGTAAGCCCGACGGGCCGGCGAGGGGCTCGGTACTGTGCGGGGATGGAAGCCGGCTCTGCGGTAGATTCAACGGCAGCACGCCACTGGGTGCGCCGCCGGTGTTGTTGCTGAGGCTCATGTCGGATGGTCCGCTGTGCACCGAGATCGGGCTGAGAGAGCCGGCCCTCGTTTCTTCGAGGCTGGCCGCGTCTTCGGAGTCCCTCCTGGGTCGGTCAAGGGCCAACGGTCCCGGGCACGGGCTACCGGGCCCCGTGGGCGACGGCGGACAATCCGTCATGTCCACCGCCTCCGTGGTTTCGCTAGGGGTGTTCTGCACGATGCTGCTGGATTGCTGCTGTTGCTGTTGTTGCTGTTGCTGCTGCTGCTCGCATTCCTTGGCACCGACCGACACTCCAGTGGTGACGTTCGACTCTCGTTCTCTCTCCTTGCCACTCGTCTCTTTTATACTCTCTCGGTCTCGATCTCGTTCTCGTTCTCGTTCTCGTTCTCGTTCTCGTTCTCGTTCTCGTTCTCGATGATGCTCTCGCGACGTGTCGGAGGTGCTCGTATGTTGTTGCTGCTGCTGCTGTTGCTGCTGCTGTTGTTGTTGCTGTTGTTGCTGTTCTTCCCTGGATGCTACCGCTGCGTTGATGTTCGTCATGTCCGCTAGACCCTTAACCTTGAGGCTCTCCGCTGTCTTGAGGAGGGCCGATAGCTGGCAGTACTCGACGTTTACCTCGCCTTTGTACATGAAGTCGACGAGGGTACGTAGCTCGGCGAAACGTACGTCCTTTAGGATAACGATGGGGTGACGGTTCGGGTGGTCGAGGAACAGGGCCTGGAAGTAACTGGAGCACGCGGAGAGGACTACCTTGTGTGCGCGTATCGACGGTCCCTCCGTGCACGCCAGTGTCACGTCCACCAGCGACTCCGACTCCAGCAGTTGACTGAACACACCCAGCAAGTTGCTCTGATGATTGTTCCACCTCAGGCAGTAATGCTCACTTCCCATGTCTGAACTGCACCCCGCAACCCTGCTATATAAGAAAGACTTGTACCCTCCAATGCTCGTGACCAGTAGGATTTTTTAACAATGTACCGCGTTACGTGGCCCAGGTATCACGACTTTTCTAACTGCTTTTACAGTATGCGCCAAAAAAAATGTGACTCTTTTTTAACCACCATTATGTTTGCTGAGTCGCTGAGTGTGACACAGTAACGTCATCTGCTGCACAATCGAACCGTCATTTTTTATATATTTGTGTTATAATGTGTTATTTGTGTTATAATCAAATTTGTCCTCGTCCATTCGCTTTATTTAACTAAATCGACAACTGAAGTGCTAGTTGTGAGAGTCGCATTTTTTTTGGCGCATACTGTACATAACAGAACGAGATATTCCGCGCAGGACAGTAAAATAATTGTCTCTACCTTTTTTTCTAAGAAAATTAATGTTATATTTTTTGAAGTTTTTAAATTTTGTCAATCTTGATAATTATCAGAAGTCAATTATTGCAATCTTTTTAAATAGACTTTTATTAAAGCCTATTAAAAAATTATGCTAAATAAAAAATTGTAATAAAAACTAAAGTTTTATTTATGTAAAATTCTGTAAGGCTCTCAAATTAAACATCTGTTTTGATCACAATAAAAAATATTCATGTCTCGATATTCATGTCACCTTTCTTTCTGAGGACAGATAATTTCGATTATCCGTAAGGAATAATCGTCATGCGAAATATTTTACATTTGACGACTCGATGAAAGGTGCGTGCGAACGACGTGAATAATGCGATTCTTTAACACGTAATCGCAGTGTATAATTTAAAGAACGTGTTTTGCAGCATATTGACGCACGTGCGTCACACCAACATACTTTTGCGAATGCATAAGCACGCTCGTTATCGATGCATCCAAACACATCCGGAGATGTACGACCGATATCAGCTGACCGATAAGGGCTTATCTTTTATTATTCCTTCTCCCGCGTTCGACTTTATTTATTGCTGCTACCTAATGCGTGAAACAGCGCGCACGCACGTGTCGCGAATATGTGCGCAGCCCGGGGAGCGACACGCATACACATAATTATGTCGAAGCGTTATTCACGTAAACGTGAATTTGCGTGATATATCCGCGAATATATGCGCGATGGCGTGTACGTACCGCCGCACGATACTCGCGTGATTCGTTTGGCTCTCGCGATATTACGGCGATGCATGACAGAATCTCCGTCATATATATGGTGCTCCGAAACTCTGATTATTTCAAGAAAATTCTAGTTGTAAGCCTTAACTTCTTCAGTGAAATCTTATCGAGGCAGAGCTGGTTTATGTGTTTCAAACAATTAAGAATACAAAGCTTGATATAAATTAATTGTTCGATAATGAAATTTCAGGCAATGAAACCTTTTAGTAACCGGTTTAAATCTAAAAGTTGAGCATTCCTTTGTAAAATTATCATTTGAGACTGAGTTAAAAGGGGAAAAATTATACTGATTTATTTATTATATAAAGATGAGAAGACTGAATATTCCGAATGGTGGAAAATCGACAACTGGGAGATCAAGCGGATATCTCGATTCTTTATACTTTGACGCCGCTTTATATCGTTCAGCCAATTACGTTGCAGTCTGCGCGAGGTTACTGTATCGCGAATTGGAGGGAAGCGATGTCGAAGCGCGAATAATCAGTTTTCGAGCGTTTTAAAACAGAGGCTCGCGCACAGCGCGCATTCAGGCTTCAGATAAATTGCACCTGTCAATGCGCCGGGACGGTTATAGGAATTACCTGTACTCTCGCCGGCTAAATATAGCGTCGGCATGGTCGTTACGCATTGATTTCATCGTTTTACGGCTATAACGTCGGTTGTTACCGGAACCTTCGAAACTTTTTTTCGCCGGAAGTGCTAGAGGTCCGTTAAGCGATAAACTCTATTTGCCAACTTGCATCAAGTCATTTTCATTAAAGATGTAACGACGGTCTTGTCAGGAAATATCGATTGATGTGTTTACGAGCTTAACGCTTTCTATTCATATTTCATATCAGCCCCGTGAGATGAATTTATTTGCGACGAGTTTGAAATAACATCCACGATGTTTATAAATTGCAAAATCCATAATTACTATTTATAATATAAATCTGTAATAATAATTTAATGTAAATATACAGGAATGAATATATAACACACGTAATAACAATTTATGTAATTTATAGTAATGCAAATAATAATAACATTAAACGTATGGGAATAATATTCGCAATTTCTGTTTGGAACGAAGTATTATTATCAAGATTATGTGTATATTACAAAAACAAGGGAACAATGTTAAATCATTTTTTTTTGCCGAGCCTAAGCCTGCAGTTAACACACTTTCCTGTAATAATCACGCGTCACGCGGTTACATCCGATATAGCTGTTCTCGAGCGTGTAAATGCCGAGCATAAAACACGTTGCGCATCGATCACAGGATATATTGCCGCATTAAATATATATATATATATAAAAAGAGAAAAAAACAAGCTTTGTATCACTCGCGCACGCAGGCAGTTTATTCATTTGCGAATACAGAAATCGGTTGATTTAATTCAGTGAAGATGTGAACGCGCATGCCATGAAACGTTGTTGCAGCTTCCCGCTCTTTTTCCGCGCAATAAACACCGCAGTCTGGCGGGTTCTCCCTCGCCGCGCTTTACAAACTTTACTCACAAGTACCGGTTACAGCGAAATCGCTTAATAGCGAAAGTTAAGAACCCAAAGTGGATGTACATATCTATGGACGTGCTCGCGGAGTGAACGGAGTGCAACCGTGGCGCATAATCCGAAGTACGTCGTCAGGTGTTTATTTTCATTTAACTCTTTTATGAACCGGAGATTCCATTTGGGGTCAAAAGCCTTTTATTTTATAAACTGTTCGCTCCCGATTTTTATGAAACTTGGTTTATGGGATAATTTGATAACGCTTTATTCAAATTAGGATCAAAAATAAAATATTCAAAATGATAAATTCGATATGGCGGACAGAATTTCAAAGAAATAATTTGATTATCATAAAACTTGCTTTTAGGGAGTTTTTAACTGTGAAGTGTATATATAACATCAAGTTTCCAGTTTCGCTTTATTTGAAGCTCATCAGTGTTACGGAAACAGTTAGTACTGCTTTTCAAACTGACTTTCAAACTATGATTATGAGCTCTCTGACACTAGCTTCTCCTTCATAGAGGTTACTACTTTTGAAATTTGATATTTTCAGGCTAATTCGAACTCAGAGTGTCAAGAATCTTCTAAAACCGAGTTACACATGATAATCAAATTATTTTTTGGAAATTTAAATTTAGTATTTCGAGATCAGAATCGAATTCAGTTACCCAAAAAGTCCTTAGAAAGCAAGATCTTCCATAAATTATTTTGTTAGAAAGCTGCGGGCCTTAAAAAATTAAATTGTTAAACTCACTTTCTACTATTTTTTTATCATTTATTTATATCCTTATTTATCGTCATTGTTTCTATTATTATTCTACTTTATTCTATTAGTTTCAGTATATGTAATTTAGAGTTACCAGATTTTTTTACTGAATCCGGAGTCAGGTTTTTACTTTTTTTAAATAAAGGTAATTCATATGTAAAACTAATGTTATTTTGTATATTGTTTTATTCTACTTGATAAGCTGTACTATAAATAAATCGAAATTTACTATTAATCCTCCGTCTACAATCATATTTTTAATCCCTCCGTCCTCCATCTAGATGATTCTTTTGTCTAACCTAAATTTTTTTATTGTTCTAGGCTTTAAAAAAAATATTAAAAAATTCAAAATTACTTTTCGTCTTTAGTTTTTTAACTTAAACATTAAAATCTTTATTTAATAAAAATTGAAATTTGAAACAAAAATGAGGAGGTATTTAAAAGTGAAATTTCGCTTGTACCAAAAAAGACCCAGATTACGGAGGGTAAAAATGTGTTCAATGTGTTTTCTATTCTTTAAATTACTATAGCACAAATAAAAATCTAGAGATTGTTCCCAGAAAATGAGGACATCTTATTTTTATTTTATTAGAGTTGGAGTTGGAAAATAATCTTTTTATTCAACTCTCTTGATATTTGCAATCATACCTATATGAGAACCTCGATAAAACTTCGTGCGCTACTATTAAAACTTTCAGTATATGTACAACAAAATATTTCAATCTATTTATCTTCTAACACATATTACTTTCGTATATTGTACATTTGAGAATTTGATTGATCGGAAGTAATTGACAGATACAAATCACGAAGCACTTTAGCGAAACAGTTCGATGACTTGTCGCAAAAGAATCCTTTTTATCTGATAACCTTTTTATATTTATAATTGTATTATACATTATCAATATAAAAATCGAAATCAAGATATAAAGATATATGACGATGTTTATCTGTCAGACACTCAGCGCCCTGCCAGTGGCAACCGTTTCGTCACCGATGTCGACGTTCATATCGGACGGCTATTGAAAGTTTCTTTTGTTGTTAAAGAATCTAAATATTTCATTAAGTTTTTCAAGTTGTTTCTTTAACGATTAGTTTATAAACGTGCGTTTTAAAATAGTTAAAAAAAGATACAAATTCATATATTACATCATTTAAAGTAAAGTTATTAAAGATTATTTTCAGTTTTAGAAAGAGAGTTTTAGATAAACTGTACAGAAAGATACACAAAATGTCACAAGTCATTCGCATATGATATTTTTCTATCTGCAAATTTCATTAAAAAATTCACTGATAACCATGCGACTGACATCCTATTAAATTATGACGTAGACAGATTAGAACATTTCTCGACTTTCTCCGGTTCCCAAGCGATTTCTAGATTTTTAACAATTGTGCTATAGGCGTGATTGTTTCCTTTCTGTGCTGCGTGTACTTAATTTTCCTGCGTGATTTTTCTGCGGAGGTTCGCGGCAGCCGCGGCAGCGCGTATTGTTACGTAAGTCAATACAGCCCACACGCCGCCGTTATTTATGTCATTTCAGAGGTTTTCTTTGGGTCAATCCGTTTACG